CCCCCGGGCCGCCCCCCGGCTGCCCCCCTGCCCCGCGCCGCCGGTGTCTCCCGCCCCGAGCGCCGGGCTCTGGCGCTGCCCCGGGTCCTGATCGCCCTTCCCGGGGTGCCCGAGCTCGGTCACCGTCCCGGGGCTCCCACCGGGGCTGCCCCCAGCTCCACGTCTTGCCCCGCAGCCCCTCCTCGGGGGCAGTAGCAGCGGCTCCCCCATCCTCTGCAAAACACGGTGCCGGGCGCAGGGTGCGGTGCCTTCCCCTCGCTTGCTGCCGCGGCTGGGGCCGCCTGAACGGGCGCTCACCCGAGGAAGGCAGCGGGGCCGGGCGCTCAGCGTGAGTTTAATTTCAGCCTAGTAAAACTTGGCAACMCGCTGAGTGCCTGATGCCAGAGCCTGGGAACGGGACCTCTCGGGCACCTCCTGCCCTGGGAGATGGTATCAGACCGGGGAGCGGTACCAGCTCCCTACGCTGTCCTTCACCTGCAGCACYCAGCAGCTTCGTCCTCCTCCCTATCACGGCTCCAGCTGGGGGGACCCAGTGACTGTTTTGGCTTGAAGGCAACTCCCAAACTGGAGAGACTCTGCGAGCATCGGTGGAGCTGAGGCATTTCCCAAGCAGGGGCCGTGTCCCACGGGGGAGTTTTAGTTTTAGGAGTTTTAGAGGCTGGGAGGCGCCTGGGGCTTCATCTCTGTGAGCCAGAGGGGAGCAGCGCCACGGCACTCGCTCACCCGGCTCCACTCACCCGCAGGGTCTGCGGGCGCCGGGTCCCTTCGTACTCCCGCAGCTGGGGCCGGGGTTTACACCTGCAGGATGCCCACAGTGCCCGCGGCTGCAAAAGCGTTGGCAAGGCGGGAAGTGTGGTGAGAGCAATGGGGGACATGGCAGGACCCTTTGGATACGGAAATGCCGGCACTCGTGCAGTCTGGACGCAGGCTCCGCACTGCATCCCGCACACTGAGGGCACCGCGCAGGGTGAGGCGGCTCTGGGCGCWCCGCGTGCTCCAAGCGCCCGCATGGGACCGCGGGGCCGTGGCCTTCGCGCAGCGCCGCGGGGAGCCGAGGCTGCTGGAGGAGCTGTCGACACTGACTCACCACCTCGAGCTGCCGGCTCCGACGCGCTCCCGCTTTAGCGCAGGGAGCAGTTAGTCTTTTTATGAATGGCTGGGAGGTGCGAGGCTGACTCACTTGTGACACTCGGGTGTCGCTGCCGCCGAGCGCCGCTCCGGCACTGCTGCCCTGCTCGCGCTCTGCAGCGAGGCTGGGGGGACACCGGGACACCAGCACTCAGGCCGGGCAAGCAGGACAGGCCACAGCAGCCACGTGCAGCGGGTGCTGGCACTGCCAAGTTCCCTGGGGCCCTCAGCGGTGCCCTCGCACCCTTCCACGGGCACCTCGGGTGTGCGGCCTGGCCTTGCTGTGTGCCAGGTGTGCGGCCTGGCCTTGCTGTGTGCCGGGTGTGCAGCCTGGCCTTGCCCCGTCCCCGTGCTCCGGCACGGCAGCGGGCAACAATCGCAGCGGCTCTGCAGGTGCCCCTGCTCTGCCAGCCCTGCTCCGGGTCCCGGCTCGGCCACGCCGCCCGTCACCTCGCGGCCCCGCGGCCGCCTCCTCGCGGGGCTTCGCTCCGCGCTCCGCCGCGCTCCAGGGCCTCCTATTTATAGCCACGGGCTGTTTCTAGGTCAGGCACGAGAAGCGGCGCCTGGGGAGCCCGCGGCCGGGGGGGACCGCGGCGGCAGCGCCCCAAATATGCTGCAGCTTYGTGCCCGCCCCATGCCCGCCTTGTCCCTGCCTCGTGCCCGCCTCGTGCACAGGGGGCCCAGGGAACAGCCCCACGTCCCGAGCAGGGGATCTCGGCCGCAGCGGGGATCAGCCGCACGTGCCAGGCCTGGGGCACCCCTGGGACCCCCTTATCTTCCCTTGCCCAGGTTGTTTTCTGGGCGCAGAGCAGGTGGTTCCCAACAAGCGGGGCAGAGCTGGGCTCGCCAGGTGAATGCCAGGCTTCCCGCCCGCCCGGTGGCAGCGCCGGCCACGCGCGGCTGAGGGAGGGCGACCCCAGTGCCCTGGGGAGCTCGGGGCTCCCCGGCCGTCACCCCCATAGCAGGGTCAGGGGGAGCCCTTCATCCCCGTGTCCTGCAGCATCTGGAGGCATCTGGAGACCAGGGGCCTGCAGCTCCTCCGGGCCRTGCTGGGGGCCTGGCCACAGTGATGCCCACCGGGGGCCTCGGGGTGCCACCACAGCCAAGGGCAGCGGTGCCGGGGGTATTTGCGGGGASGCAGCAGGGCTGGGGCTGCCACCACCCCCCAGGGCCTCTCCGAGGCCACAGGTGCCGTCCCTGGGCAGCCCAAGCCCCTTGCAGGCAGCTTGTGGTGCGTGTTAACTCTGGAGCCTACTGATGACTATTTGCTGCTTTGGGAGGCAAAAGAAAATAAAAAGGCAAAGGGGTTTCTTTTCAAAAGAGACAGAACAGGTTTATTCACGGGGAGGAGGTGGGAYGGGGGGGCACAGCACTGTCTCGCTTCTCCTGGTCCAGGTGCAAGTCCTGGGGAAGCAGCAGGCCCTGAGTCGCTGCCTTGGGCCGCGGCACCTCTGTCCCCACAGCCACCGCCTGGCAGCGTTTCCAGACCCCGACAGCAAGGGATGGTCTCACAGAGCAAGCGGGAGGCAGCGCGGGCACCGCGACAGGCGGGCCCGGCTGCCCCGCGCGGCCCCGCGCCGCTCGCAGCCCGTTCTCCTGGCACCATCTAGCGAGGGAGCGGAGGCAGAGGCGGCGCCGCCGGCGCAGGCCGCGCTGCGGGGCTGCCGTGCGGCCCTGCTCACAAGCCGAGCGCGCAGGATGTCCCCTGCGGCAGGAGCAGCCCCGGCGCAGCTGCGGAGCACTGCGGGACGGGAACGGCGCCCCGGGAAGAGCTGGGAAGAGCCTCCGGGCAGGGGGCACCCGCCCTGCACTTTGCTGGGGAGCGGTCACTCTCCTGCCCCGGCTGAGAACAGCAAACTCGTGCCACCCATGGAACACTGAGCGCAGCCAGTCCTGACACCTGCATCCAGCTGCGGGAGGGGAGCCCTGGAGATGCCACCAGCCCAGCTGCTCCGGGCTCTTCCCAGGCTCACGGATCTGACGGCAGGAGCTGCCCACCCCTTGCTGCGGGGCACCCGAAACATCCTGCAATGCTGGAGGCTGCCCGCTGGCCACGCGGCAGGCAGCCAGCTCTGCGCGGGAGGAGATGCCGACCTGCTCGGGCACGGGGTGGGCAGAGTGTCCTGCCCGCTACCAGAGCAACCCAGCGGGGCCCTTGCGTGCGCCCTGGCCCTCTGTCCTGCCAAGGGGACGTGGCCGGGAGCCCGGTCGGGAGCGATACCAGCGCAGGAGCTGCCCTCAGTGGGCAGGCGCCAGCAGAGCCGGCYGGGCACCGGGTGCTCCCTGGCTCCCGGCAGAGCCGGTGCCTGTGGGGGTGCC